TCCTTCACAGTTAATGTAGCAATTATTTTATTTTATTGTATCAACCGTGTAGTAGCGATGTAAGAATATCCACTACTCCATTCCTTGCGGTCTAACAGGCGGCGAGTCCTGAGTCAGACGTAAGTATAAAAGACAAAATATTAACAGCACTAACATCTCAGAACAGACTATGCCAAATCATCCTGTGGATGTTGTAACAAATGGAAAAAATCAGGTTATGAGCAGCAGCATCTTAAGTATTCCTTCTATGACAATGTATTGGGGACGCCTACGTTCAGCAGTAATCTTTTTAGGTTTTACCTTACGCTCATATTGATCACTAGATCAAGGTAAGACGTCTATTGAAGAATTAAAGCCCCGACTTCCGGCTATAATTAGGAAATCACTTTTTCTTTTTAGTGTGTGAAGTAGGATTTTACTTTATATAAGTTTTTATAAAAATTTACATCAGCTATCCATGGTAAGAGAGTGAAATATCGAAATATAAGCTATGAAGCATTCTGGTCAGAGTCATAAAACTCATTAACGGTAATAGACATTATGGAAATTAATGTAATCAATATTAATTTAGTCACATGCCTTTACGTTACGTCATTACCATCCATCCTCATAGCCCGTGTCACGATGGTTCTGCTTTGTGGAGAACGCCTAAAAAGCTTTTAATTTAAAAAAAATAGCACTTACGAACACCACAAACAGATGACTGCAGTTTGAGTCATGGTTTCCGGTAACCACGTAACGTAAATTATTTTTGTAGAAAACGATTCATATCATTCAGTACAAGTTAATCAAGCACCTTCTGCATCTAACAAAAAAGCAGAAATGATGATATGGACGGTAATGTATGTAACCACTTAAGAACTGTTCGTAAACAGAGTTATAAAAACTTAAAATAAAACAAAGAAAACACGACACGGTATGAAATCAACCAAGTGGCTTATGCACATGGACATCGCGGTCTCGCAAGTAAATACATTTAAGAGGTTGAGAACGTGACATAGGAATCAACTCAATCCACAACGAAATTCATATTACTGATAGTGAGAACAGAATAAGTTCTCAAGATGATTCAAATTAATATTAGTATAAACTACCTTTTTAGGCCAGCGCCATACTTGACGGAAATTCCGTCGCAGATCTTCCGCGGCGGAACGTCAATACATGTTATTTCATATAAATTACAAATAGCGGGCACACTACGCGGAAGATCGGTCGTTCCGTCGTGGACGATCAGTCGCTCCGTGGCGGACTACTTGCTCTCGCGTCTGCTCCGTCCTCCGCGCACCGATCTTCCGTCGGCGTAAGATCTGCAACGTCGCGTTCCAGGTATTTGTATGCATCGCGCCACATTTGGCGGATAACTCGCGGTGACGGCGCACGCACAGGATGTTCGACATTGAACGATTTATTATCAAAGTGAAAAATAGAGTTTGCCTTAGGGACTCTAGAGAAAAGCCAGATAGAACGCCAAAATGAAAATTCTTGTAATGAATTATCAAGTAATGCAAACTCACAACTAACTGTAATTGAGAATTTGAGTCCAACTCAAACTCATGAAGTTCCAGGGACCTCTCAAACAAAAAGAAAACCTAAAGTGAAATAATTTGTCTCATTTACACTATTAATATTTATCTTACTTTTATGTAACGGTCAGCCTTTCTTCAGGAGATATAGCCGTTCTAAGTTTTGTATTTTGCTTGGTAATATAGTCCTTCGTTAAATTCAACAATACATCAAATGATTGTACGGACTTTCGATAATATTCGAATGCTTTATCTGGATTATGTCTAACAAAGTATGAAATTGCCCAATTTCTAGTCGAACACACCGTATAAGCGTTGGCAGTCAACTGATAATCTGCCACTGAATATTCAGTGTGGCTGCAACTTATGGTAACGGATTTAGTCCCGCGGAGGTTCGGCGTCGGAATTTCCGTCTAGTGTGGCGCTGGCCTTAGTGTACTGTCACCATTAACTATTGTTGAAAGTCAACTTGGCTAAACCCAAAGGAGGAGGTCAATGTAATTATAATTAAGAATCAGGTACAAAATAAATTAAATTTATTTTGAATATACCACGTATGTACTTATAAAAGGAACAGTAAAAGGTAACAGGCATTGAGGCACCTTCATAAGTTCATAATAACCTCAGAAGATAAGCATACACAAGATACACGATTAAAAATAAAATCAATATACATAGGTAATACTAGAGGCAGTCGAATATTGTATGACAACAAAAATTAACAGTCGGTTCATTTAACCCTAGAAGCCCAATCTACGTAAATCTGACGTATACCGCAGCGAAATATCACTGTCTCTTTCACGTTTACCGTCGGATCGCCGCTAACTTCTGAACCAACTCGGTAGCCATTGAGACCTCGCAGGACACAGTTGCGTCATTTCGGTAAGTGCCGCCATTTTGTTGTAATAGAGAGATAGCACGTCATTTTGACTTATAATTGGGCTTTGTGTAACTTTTGAAATTGTTTCTAATTTTTTATTTTTTTGATTTATTCGAGCTAATCGTATTGTTTCGTTACATTTTTCATATAATATTAATATTTTCAGGTTGAATACAAAATGGAGTCCTGTCAACGGTTAAACCAGGACGAAATAGCTACAATTTTAGAAAATGATCACGATTGATTGATGACGATGGTCGACTTCGTTGAAGATACAAGCTGGCAAGAGGGCCCCGATAACAATATTGCTTCTCGGGAATCGCCTAATCTTGAGGTAGCTTCATTGACTTCACAAAGAATAATTAGTTTGCCTCAGCGGTCAATACGTGGAAAAAACAACCATGTATGGTTAACTACAAAGGGACGTACGACGGGAAGGACTTCTGCTATCAATTATTATACGCACAAATAGGGGACAAACGGGAATGTGTCGCAATATTGTTGACCCATTGCTCTGTTTTCAACTTTTTATAACAGACGAGATAATTCATGAAACTTAACTAGTGGACAAATGTCGAGATGATAGTAAAACGACAAAATTTGAAAAACATTTCAGCAAGCTACAGGGATACAAATACTATGGAGATCTGGGCGTTAGTCGGAATTCTCACTTCTGACGGCTGTTATGAAAGATAACCACCTCTCAACTGATGAGTTGTTTGACGCTACATTCTCAGGCACCAGATATGTATCAGTAATTAGCCGAGAGAGATTTGAATTCCTAATAAGATGTTTGAGAATGGACGATAAAACACTGCGACCAACTCTTCGTAGCGATGATGCTTTTTTCCCGGTGAGAAAAATATGGGAGATTTTTATCAATCAATTTAAACAAAACTACGTTCCTGGCAGTAACTTACTGTAGATGAGCAATTGTTGGGATTTCGCGGCCGTGGTCCATTCCGGATGTATATTCCTAATAAACCTGATAAATATGGCATAAAATTCCCCATGATGTGTAACGCTGCCACAAAGTACATGACAGATGCCATACCTTACCTTGGCAAAAGTACGAAAACAAATGGTTTACCACTGGGCGAGTTTTATGTAAAAGAGCTGACTAAAACAGTACACGGCACAAACAGAAATGTTACCTGCGACAACTGGTTCACGTCTATCCCACTAGCCAAGAACATGCTCCAGGCTCCATACAACGTAACAACAGTAGGAACCATCAGGTCTAACAAAAGAGAAATACCTGAAGAGATCAAGAATTCTCGCTCACGGCCGGTAGGATCCTCAATGTTTTGCTTTGATGGCCCTTTGACCTTGGTTTCCTATAAACCAAAGCCGTCGAAAATGGTATTTTTTTTGTCTTCCTGTGATGAAAATGCCGTTATCAATGAAAGTAACGGAAAACCGGATATGATATTGTTTTATAATCAAACAAAAGCTGGCGTTGATTCCTTTGATCAGATGTGTAAGTCTATATCTACTAACAGGAAGACTAATAGGTGGCCGATGGCGGTCTTTTACGGGATGTTGAATATGGCGTTTGTGAACTCCAATATAATATACTGTCACAATAAGATAAATAAACAAGAAAAACCAATGAGCCGCAAAGAATTTATGAAAAAATTAAGCACAGATCTAACGACACCTTGGATGCAAGAACGACAACAAGCATCTACTTTGAAGAGGACTCTACGGGACAATATAACAAATGTTTTAAAACATGTGGTACCGCCATCTCCGGAAAATATTAGTGATGAACTGAAGAAACGACGCTATTGTGGATTTTGTTAATATAAAAAAAGGCGGATGACCAAAGCGCAGTGTTGCAAATGCAAAAAGGCTATATGTGGAGAACACAATATTGATGTTTGTCAAGACTGTGTATAAAGACTGTTTTTTTCTAAGAGACTTATAAAGTATTATTACAAGTTGATTTAATTTGATGAAAATATTTAAAACTAGTTGATTTTTTTATAATTACATAATTTTAAGAAAAAGTGTTAGAGGCTTGAGTTTTTTGTTGATTTTTTTCTAATATTTGATTAAAGTGCCATAATTGTATTAATAAAGAGTATTTTTAACCTAAAATGTATTTTATTTATTTATTAAAACTTCAATTATGATAACTCATGCAAAAATACAGTTCATTAACAGAAAAAAAATAGGAAAACTTTATTTTTACACGTCATTTTTACGTATGATTGGGCTTCTAGGGTTAACAAATTATTCATAACTCCCTTTCTTACAAAAATTTACCTTTCAATATTAGCTAAGATATTTCTTAGTTAAAACCAAAGTTATTTAACTGCATGTGAACCACAGGGCATCTCTATTCAAGTAAACATGACAAAATAGCATAAAATGTAAAACGGGAGAGAACACTTTAATATGTAAGTATTTTTCCAAGTTAAATATCAGTTGCAAGTCGTTAAAATTTGTGCCGATATTGTCATTTACACTTATCGCCTGGTATTTTACGCTCCTTTAAACAAAAAAATTACAAGTAAGAAACAATATCTCAAAATCTTTCGAAAAATTCCAATATGAAAATTTTTACTAAAATCACAGACATGAAGTTGTTTTTATTCATTAATTTCAGATGCAGATGCGTTCAGCGCTGGGGTGTCCACACCCATTCCGCTCTTCATTAAAAGTTCCATCCTGGATGGTAAATCTTCTAATAACTTATCGGTTTCTGTTTTCATTTTTTTTGGCTTTACTTGCAACTTTCTTTCCTCTATATGATCTGCGAAAGTGTTATATCCGGCCACTTTTGCTATATCTGCAGCCAGACATAAGCATGCTTGATTTTGTGATTTCCCAAGTATTGTGGCAGCTTGAGATAAATCTCCAAGAGCAATGTAACTGAAAGTAAAACAATTATTATTGCATTTTTATTATTTTTTGCTCAAATCACAAAATTTTAATTGGAGACAAAAAACGTATATTAATATTAAAAAATATGCATCAACATCTTTTAACTGCTAATTTTAAATAATTAAAACTAAAACACTGAATTCATATATAACTGTTTACCAAATAGCAGCCAAAGTCCAACTGCCTGTTCGGAAACAATCCTCGGCCCATTTATGCAGTGTTTCCGACGCTATGCTCTCCATATGCCTGTAATATCAATTGAATTTATAACAATATCAACTTGCCATATAATTATACAAAAACAATTGACGGTTTCGCCTTGCAATGGATAAACTAACATGTCATATGGTTCATCTGTCTGGTTGCGGTGCTCATATCAGTCTAGTTAAACAGTGTTTTGTCTCATACTGACATTTGCAAGACACTTGGTGCTAGAAAGTGACAAAACACTATTTAACTAATCAAGGCGTTTAAAATATTTATGGATAAGGGGGCAAATCTGAGCTGACACCATATGAGTGTTAATTTACTCGTATTTTAGTTATTTGGCATTTGTTATAATGTAAAGCCGGATTTTTTTTTTGATAAACATTGATTCTTTGAAAGGAAACTAAAGAAATTATTAACAAATATGATGCATAGGTACGTATCCGTATATATTATGTTTGTAAATATTATAACTACTTTTAAAACTGAATGAGATTTAGCTGTTAAACAAAAAGACATTGACAACCCTGCAACAGTAGGCATTTAAGTCTCGCGCGGCGCAGGAGTTATCCTACTATTCTGTTTTTACTTCTGATCTTTTTAGTATTTCACTGAGTAACCTACTCAGTGAAATACTAAGATAAAAACGGGACGAAATGAAGTGATGAATTCTCTTACGCAGCGGAAGAAGCAGCTATATATTTATAATACAATTCACTTAGTCAAGTTTTTTCTCCTTGTTGACCTTTTAATGCTGTAGCTAAGGTTTTGTTTTCAGTTTTTTTTTTTCTCTTGTAACGTAGAAGCGTTATACAAACATATCATAATATGAAAAAAAAGTCGTTAAGAATTTACATCTAGTTATATTTGACTATTAATTCGTATTAATAAATTTAATGCACAATAAATGTATCATATTTTACGAATTTGAAAAAATGTTAATGGAACATATCTGAAAAAATGTAATCGTAATAAAAAATTTCTAACTTCCACCACGAGTTTACGCTTATGATATAAAAATAGACAAATTGGTTCGATTCAATACACTATAGCTTTATTGAATGACACTGCGACTTTTCATACGACACGATTTGAAATCTTACCTTGTCCTGCACAATATGTACGCCTCTTTGTAAAGTCTAGACTCTATGAGAGCTGCAACGGCGCCCTTTACATCGTGTACGCTCAGTAACGAGCCAACTTTACGATACACTGGGCCACCGTAATTTTTAAATTCTGAAATCATCGGAAAATAATTATAAAAAAGTGTAGTAATAATTTACGTATATTTTACATCATATAACGACGCATTGTCAAAACTAATCAAACTTACGTAATAATTTATCTTCTTCCCCTTTCGCAACGAGTCTATCTATTTGTGCGAGATACAGCTGAGTAGCGTCCTTCCAATATCTGAAATTATATTAAAATATTTATACTTTTTACCAGCAATTTTTTAAGTAGTTAATAACGGATATTCGCCAATCTCAATAATTTGTTTTTAAATTTACATTGTTAAGGAATATAAAAAAATTGGATGAATATTTTCTCCAAAATTTATAAGGAACCAACTCTTAAGTATTTTAGGAAAAAAATATATACAACATACAAAAAAAAATCCTCCTCCTTTATTTTAAGTCGGTTAAAATATAAAGGGGAGTACAATAAACAAATGTCTAACTTTAAAACATAATTCAAAGTCTTACTTAAAAGATACGCAGGGCGATATACTGATAAGGTAGGGACATAGCAGGTCTCTCTGGCTTGCAAATTGTATCATGGCATCGATATGACCTCGAAATATCGACAGCATGATCCATGCCTCAACATTGCCATTGCTAAGGTGGTGCTCCACTGCAAAGAAAAAGAATTAAACTATACTGATCATCCATTCTAAAACCAACTACTTTTTAACATAGACCACACCCATTCAAAATGATAGAACAGCAAAAAAAAACATAATTACATTATGGCCTCTATTATAATCCAATCTAACTGAAATGTATGTGTCGTAAGCGACCATTTTTTGCAATCAATTATTTTTTATATTGAAAACTTGTTACTCACTTTCCATATCCAAAACTTCGTTAATTTCATTGGTACTGCCAAACATTTTCACAAAGTCAGTCCCGAATATTGTATTTTTAGAGGACGCATTTTTAATTTCAGCATTCGCATCTTTCTCATTTGTGTTAGCAACTGAGAACGCCTTATTGTCTTTATCAGGTGTCTCTGCATCATTGTCAGGTGCGGATGCATCTTTATCAGGTGTCTCTTCATCTTTGTCAGGTGTCTCTGCATCTTTGTCAGGTGTCTATGCATCTTTGTCAGGTGTCGATGCATCTTTGTCAGGTGTCTCTGCATCTTTTTCCGGTGTCTCTGCATCTTTGTCAGGTGTCTCTGCATCTTTGTCAGGTGTGGATGCATCTTTATCAGGTGTCTCTGCATCTTTGTCAGGTGTCTCTGCATCTTTGTCAGGTGTGAATGCATCTTTATTATTCACAGAAGAATTTTTATTTTCTGTCAATTCATTGAAATCACCTTCGCCATTGTTCCCTGCTTCTTTTTTACCATTACAACTTTCTGTGTTCTTTTCTATATAATTTTGTAACATTTGCCTTGCACCTTGTAAATGACAGTTGGCGATCTGTTTGTAAATAATAGGCAGCAGGTATTTTTTCGAGATATTTATTTTATCTGCGCTGACAACGTGAGCTTGGCCCCCTACGTAATTTTTATCTTCTTCAGCTTTTTTCTCTTCTTTCTGGTTCTTCTTTTTGTCTCTTTTAGTCACAAAATGTTGTACAGTATCTGAAAAATGTTTAAACTTAAATAGTCGATACTGAAATGATACACTTTGTAACTTGTGTACAATTCCTCTTATGTCCAAACAAAACAATGGCTATTCCGTTCACTGTCGCACCGATTAGAGCCTCGCGACAGTAATGGAATTCGGGTGGTGCAATGATTTAGTAAATTCGTGTTTTCTTTAAATTCTATATGAATAATGAGTAATTACACACTTTATATAAACTAAAACCGAATTGTATATTTCTACAAACAACAAATAGTTTTACCCTAATATATATAACAGTCGATGTGCAAACGAAGTGGTATTTTGAATTAATTTGCACAAATATCTTACTTTATTTTTTATTGTAAAAAACCATCGACTCTATAGTAGTATACGCACTAGATTTCGCAATTCCGAATATCCACTATTTTCTACTGAACTGTACTGCAATCCGTACACCTTACTTTAGTGTCATTTAGTGTGGCTTCGATATTCATGCAACGCGGAGCGGCGCAAAAAACGAGAGGTTAAATCAAAGTTTGAACTTGAACACAAACAACAATTCAGTAGTCAAGTAGTTAACTAAAATTATTTGTTGTACAAATGAAAAAATAGGTAACAATATCGTAATACCACAATAAATAAAATAATTCTGCATTTAAATGCCACGCCATCTGCAATTATAGACTAAAACATGCAGATGTTCAATTACAAAACCGAATGTACGTAAAATATTTTAATGAACAAAGACTTGACGTGGTGTTTTAAAAAGTTATTATAACCAGTTTATATTTCTGAACTCCTATTTTTTTATGTTCATTCTTTTATGTATAGAACAATTTATATATGCACACACACACACACACACACACACACACACACACACACACACACACACACACACACACACACACACGCACGCACGCGCGCACGCATCGCACACGGGCACACGCACACGCACACGGGCACACGCGCACCGCGCACACGCACACGCACGCACACGCGCACACACACACACACACACACACGCGCACAACACACACACACACACACACCACACACACACACACACACACACACACACACACACACACACACACACACACACACACACACACACACACACACACACACACACACACACACACACACTCTGTGAGTAAAAGAACTGAATTGTATTTCTACAAACAACAAATAGTTTTACCCTAATATATATAACAGTTGATGTGCAAACGAAGTGGTATTTTGAATTAATTTGCACAAATATCTGACTTTATTTTTTATTGTAAAAAACCATCGACTCTATACTAGTATACGCACTAGATTTCGCAATTCCGAATATCCACTATTTTCAACTGAACTGTACTGCAATCCGTACACCTTACTTTGGTGTCATTTAGTGTGGCTTCGATATTCATGCAACGCTCACACTCACACTCACACTCACGCACGCACGCACGCACGCACGCACGCACGCACACCGCACGCACACACATACACACAATATATATATATATATATATAATGATCTTTGACAATAAATGTATGTTTTTATATTTTACATAGTAACCTTTTAAAATATACAAAAAAAATAATTAGAAAGTAATTGTGTTTCAATTTTATATACCTATTGATAATTCAACCTACGTATAATAATCTGTGATGTCAGAAAGTGCCCGCGCAGGCGGAATGCGCGCTTATATCAAATATCAACTGCGCTTGCGCGACTCTACGTCTCCCGCGCATGCGCGAAGACACAGTAGCGCGCGTACGTAGTACATATAACTCAATGTAAAGAACACATTTTTATTGATTGTTTTGTTTGTCCCATATAAAACATGAATCTTGTTAATGAATTACACGTGATGGATGGTAAAAACACTCACTTCTACAGCTACATGTAATACAGACCTACTATACACAGTGTTCGATAAATTAATGGATTAACTTAAATTAGGTCACGATATAACATATTTCTATATACCAAAGAGAAAAAGAAATATTTCAGGTAGTTTTTGGTTATTTAGGTGGTTCAGGTTATTGTCTCAACTAATTTTTTTACGTTATTTTATATTCCTGTCACAAGTTAATTAAATCCATCGGTTTCTTAGTGTTATAGTATTATTTTACGTTAACTGATCTGATAGATAAACAATAAATAGTATTAATTTTAGTGCATTTTTTAAGAACTTGATTTAATAATAATAACGTCCTCCAGACCGAATTTCGGTCACGGCGGCCTGTCTCAACGGAGGCTAGCCATCGGCGTAGGACAGGATTATAGTGCCCAAATGTATACGCAAGCACGGGTGCACTCTCTATTCCCTCACTCTCATAATCCGGTGGGTCGGTAAACCGACACGACCGGAGAGAGATCAGGCGCAGGACCAACGGCTTTACGTGCTTTCCGAGGCACGGGGGTGAGACACCACCAACTTCCTGACTCCGGGCAACTACTGAGAATTTTTTGACGGAAAAACTCAATAATTAATTTTTTTGGCCTGACTTGGGATTCGAACCCAGAACCTCATGATCAGCAGTCGCACTACTACAACCACTAGACCAACGAGAACTTGATTTACTGTTTGACTGAAAAATTTGCAAGTCCGCGCCGCCATGCACCTGTAGCCTGCACAGTGAGGCGCATGCACATGGAATTCACACGCAGTGCACATGCAGTGCACGTAGTGCAGAGTGGCACAGTACACTCACCGGTGTGCGCGGCGGCGGGGTGGTCACCGGCGCGCCACAGCCGCAGCGCGCAGTCCGCACCGCCGGAAAGCACGAGGGAGTGCAGCTGCGGCCGCGGGCTCCACGAGCAGCTCAACGCGCTCGGCACGTGTCCGCCGAATATCGACACGCATGCGCCCTGCCCGATATCCCACACCTGCACACAAAATGTTTTTTTCTTAGCGATCTAATATCAACATTGGCCTTCAGAAACAGAGAAACAGAAACAGAAACTTTTTTATTCAATGTAGATTATAAACAATACTTATTGAAAGTCACTTTTTTCATTTACCACTGGTTCGCAAAAAAAAACCTCTGTCCTGGGAAGAACCAGCAAGAAACCCAGCGGGACTTTTTTTCCAATAATAGCTTACAATCATGTTAACAATTAACAACACAAGACAAATTAGAAATAGCTTGGCAGCGATCACCTATTCCAACTATCTTTCCTATACACCTTCTATTCACAGACCAATACCACACTACGCCGGGTTCAGGGACAACGAGGTGGGCTTGACCTTAGATGCAGACGTTCGATTCCGTACACAACCTTGTTCCATAAAAGAAAGGGTGGACGACTAAGATGACGGGCCCCTACTGTCTTGATGCCTATCGCATATATTGCCCTGATGCACTATTATTTACTAATGCCATATTACTTTTCACTTATTTTCCTTCTTCTTATTATTAGTTCCCAAAACTGGCGCTGATTCCGTTCGTGCCGTCTTCTGCGTGGGCTTTCTGCCCGGTAGGTTTCGGGCCTCGAGGTACACCCCTTTACCCGGGCATTCTTCACGGCACACTACAATGTGAATGAAGTGTGGATACGTTATAACGTCATTCCGGACGTAGCGACCCGCACCTACAATGGTCCGTAGTGTCAAATTCTGCTGGAACTGCAGTCGCCGATTCTGTCGACCGCTCAGGAGCGCGTACCAGGCCGGAGCAGCGTAAGTCAGGAATGGTATAATGTACGTCTTGTAGATGGTGGTCTTCGATTTAATCGGTAACTTAGATGCCAGGACTGGACGGAGCATCGCCCGCGCACATCTGGCTTTGCGGACGATTAAGAAGTCGACGTGCGCAGTCATGCGCATCATCCTGTCGATCCGGCACCCAAGATAGTTCACGGCCTTCTCGTACGCGATCTCCTGGCCTCTGAGGATTAATGGTGGTGGAGATCTTCTGAAGCGGCGAGTGAGCAGAGCGGTCGTCTTACCAACGTTGACGGCCATCCCCCACTCATCCAGCCATGGTGGCAACAGGTCCAGCAGACGTTGCATCCTTGCAATAGCGATGTGGGCTCTTCTGGACGAGGTGAAATAGGCGCCATCATTCGCAAATAGCGCCAGCTCTACGTCGTCCTCAGATTCGCGCAGGTGCCCTGCCAGGGTTGTCGGTGTAAGCCGCGTACAGGACTGGAGACAGACCGCTGCCCTGTGATACACCAGCTCTTATGGGTCTTATTGCGGACTCGGCGTCCTCTACACAGACGTAGAACCTCCTGTCTGCGAGGAATAACGCCACTAGCCGCAACATAGCAGGAGGGACCGCAACCGACAGTTCGTCCGGTAGAGTATTCAATTTGGTTTTCAGTCTGGAGCAGCGAGTATGCGTCCAGGACTTCCTCAGCGCTCCTTTGTGCTTCAGCTGTACGCGTAACTCTCGCGGCAGCTCTTCCTTGCGTCCAAAGAGAGGCACAATCGTAGAGGCCGCGTTAAGGGCCTCCTGGATGCTGTTGGTGATTCTGATTGCAGCGCCTCAACATCGTCCGCTGAGTGAATCGTTGTATGGACTGGAGGTCTCTCCTGCAGGTGTTGATGGTAGAGCCTCCATTCGATCTTGGTCTTAAAGGCTCTGGGCGGCGCAGTCACTGCCTTGGTGCCAAGGGTAATCAGAATAGGGAGGTGCTGTGTATTTAGGTCGTACAGCAACTCTGCCACTATCGGGCAGTTGACGTTCCCAGAGAGCACGATGTCCAATACATCCGGACGTTTCCGTGGATCTGTCGGAACATTTGTTGGCTCCTCGGGACCTAAAACGTCATAATTGTAGTTCTCTGCATAACCATAAAGCCAGTGGCGAAGCCTCCATAGAAGCCCAGAAGCCGAGCTTGCTCTATCAAACTGCTCAATCAATAATATCAACTAATAAAATAACTCGGTAAACTATTTCAAATTTCCTGCGCGCTCCTCTTTTCTAGGCAGGGCATGACCTCGTAGCATATAATATGTAACGTCAACACTTGGCAGTTTGCTCGCAATTCGAAATACACTGGACTGTCAAAATTAATGAAAGCAAGGAGTTGATTTTGTCGTCTCTCCCACACGCGTTGGCTTTTTACCGGGCTTTCGAGAAGAAGATCGCTCCCTTTCTAACCTGTGGCAAAATGTTCTATAATGAAACATAACTACGAAATGTTTATATAGCAATTACTATGGAACCAAAAGCTGGGCTTTACCCTGAAGTTGTTTAGGAGTGCGTTACCGAGTGGGGGTGCGGGCGATGCGTTTGCAAGTTCACTTCACATTTCAATGTTTGTATTTGTTTTTGTTGTGTCGGTTAAAAATTTATGCCTTTTTCAAAGATTTTTAGTGAAAATGGGAGGATAATAAGAGTTCCTTGTGATGAATATAAGTAGTTTTAATCATGAATATAAGTGTGTTAAAGTGCTAATCGTCGAGGATAAGTTAAATCTTTAAAAATGAAATTTTAATTCAATAAGCATTTCTTCATACTTTAATAGGTACAGGACTCTTTAGTATTAAAGTTTAATTAAATTATTCTAGGTGTATTTAAACGTTTAATAACTCAATACTTATATATTGCTTGAGCGAAAGAAAAAGATATTTACCTACAAACAGTACATATCTTTTTCTTTCGCTCAAGCAAACCCAAACGGCTCTTTTAAAAGCCACCGAAGGTATGCAATTGCATATGTCATACAATCTATCTAGCGGTAGTATGCCTTTTGTGTGCTTTGTTAAACACGTCCTCGACAGCACTGAATATGAAACTAAAGAGTGGAGACAGATCAAGATTGGTGTATTTTTATAAAACTGCTAAAAACAACAAAACCATATCTTGGGCTTGCCCTAGTTTGGAGCCCTAGCTTCACTAGTGCATAAAGCTGACGACCCGGCGGGTTGATCAATCTAGACCCCACGCTGGGTGTTTGGCGTTTAGGTCCCCGGCGACGATGGCATGCGTTGTGCCTTCCATAACCGTCCGGACGTCTGAGGAATAGAATGGAGTCCCTGGCGGTCGGTATGCTGCAAAGATCCTTAGTTCCTCGCCCGCCGCCTCCATTTTTATGCCGATTGAGCGCATCGTCTAGAAATCTGGTACGGCCAGCTCCACGTCGCAAACACTACGTTTATGGTATTTATCGTATTTCATTTCAAGTTTTTAATTTAAATAATAATTAAAAAAAAATTAATACGTCTCAATGTCATAGTCAACCACGGCTGCATTTAGTTTAAATTATAAAGGGGGATGCCCACTGTTCATAGACACTTCGGCCATGGGTGCCCACATATAAAAGCATATGGAAATGATAATATGCAATTAAAATAATGAAATGGTTAAGGAATTGGTTTAAAAAAAGTCGGGATTTTTATGATGTAAAGCTTTTTATTTTCACAAATACAGTTTTTTAACGACTACTTTTACCAATTTTATTGCTTTTAATTTCTTTAACTTTTAATTCCCGACGCGTGATTTTTCTTTTTGGAGGCCTATGCCAAAAGGCACACCGAACAGAGGGACTTACTTTAACTAGTATTACAATAGGAACTCAAACACAAATATTATGTAACCCCAAAGTTCGGAAATAAATGGTTATATTATTATTATACTATTGTTATTAATTCCTGACGTTTCAGGTGCTTTATAGCACCCATGGTCACGGGGTACTGAGGTGACTGCCATCCCAATGTCAGTATTGGGACATGGAGTACCTTCAGCTTTTTATTATTATTTTTATAGTCCAATCTACGCAGATTGAACTTACTCTATCTTTAAGTCTTGCAGTGGTATGCTTGGGGTTTGTTTTAATTTTATTAATTATAGTGTCCCAAGCAGGTGGTAGTACCCAACCGCCTTCTCTACTGAAATTAGGATGTTTTTTAATTTCAGTAGCCTCACATATCATCCTTGGTAGGAATTAATGTTCTTTAACGAGGATTTGTGGTCTATCAAATCTGATGTATGTCTATCTGGTTGGGGTGACACCCTTGACATACGGTAGTACAGCAGGCACACGCTCAACTGCGGTCGGCTTCACTCGGTCACTGTGACGAAGACGTGGGACCCGAAGCTTGATTTTGTGCAGAACCTGCTTGACGTGCTGAAGCTCCGCGGCCAGGTGCTTGTTCTCACAGATCCCATATGCTCTCTGTAACAAAGATTTGCTCATGGTAACTAACTGTGAAGGATTATGGTGAGATTCACAGCTTAAATATCAGTTTTTATGGGTCTTTTTTCTATACACAGTGTGACCTATGATGTTGTTAGGATTTTGGATAACAAAAACATCTAGGAAAGCTAAGAAATTATTCGCCTCAGATATAATATCATAATTACTGAATAGAATTTGGCACAGAGAGTGGTAACGATGGATAAAATTCATAGGAACGTCCTGATTTAATATTTCTTGGGCCATATTCATGAGCCGCTCTAATTTGTTTCTTGGTACTTGCAATAATGCCTATATGCATTCATCACTATCTCCTGTTCTTACTTTCATCAAATATACAGCAAGTGCAAAGCATCCACTATGTTTACTTGACATTTTGGGCACTGCAGACAGAATTTATTGGCATTGTGCCTTTGATAAGCGTAGATAATAATGTACAGTATATTCGGGCATATTGTAAATATTTTCAAAGTCTATATGATGGTAAATATTATCTTACAATAATGTAGAAAAATCTATAATTTGTGCTACACTAAATGTTTTAATATGGTTATATATTAATTCTAAAAAGTAAATACCAAGAGTTACTATTTAAATGGTAGTTACTGATTCTACATTCTGGAGGTACATAGTAATTGTATTCACAAAAATACATACCCGCAATGCTGATGGAACAGTGAGTTGATTGGAATTGTTACAACCAGGAAAAAACATTGATTTTGTGTGAGTGGTGCTCTTAC